AACATGATACTGTACCAAAATGTTTTTCTGTTATCCTGATCAAAAACAATATCTTAGCATGCTCTAATGTCTCTATCTTTGTTAATCAATTTCATCTTTACGCAACATTAGCGGATTTCACAGCATATTTGTTTTTCAAAATCCTAGTTTTTATCCTAGTTATCATTCTAGGTATAGGTTATACAATAGTTGTCTCGGATACGCATGCCATCTTCAATATTTTTCAACAATTTTTTTATTGCTTCCATGGTGATGTGATCCTAATCATTTTCTGCTTTGTTTGACTCTTCTCATTAACTTTTAAACCTTATTGTTCACGCACTTACAAAATATGGACTCGGGGAAATACAAAATCACATGAAAATTCAGAGTTACATGGCCGGTTGTTGACTGAATAAGCCCTACTGACGCTCACGGGCCGTCGAGAAATTGTCTCGAGAAATGTGAAGATGTATGCTGCAGGCAGTCGTAACTCATCGAACTTGAATCATATTCCAAACAAGTATAGTGCATTGAACTAAACATTCGCGTCCAAACAGGACGTATATCAAGTTGGAATTATTTCGAAGCGGACGTATAACGAGATATCACAGCATTTTATTCCAAGTATACTTGAATGTTGCATACATACGGAGTTTGATGAAAACTCAGTGAAACGTCTTTGTTTTTAAAATTGAGATTGAGAATTAAACCGATCAACTATAGCAATTTCATCCTCGCATTTTGCATTCTAAGCGTCTTTTCTCAAATCTCCCACCAATAAAATTACAAACCTCCCTCTTTACACAAGGAAAAGTTCTTAAAAAACGGTCTTTATGAAACAAATTCTTACAAATTGCGAAGATACTGTAAATTGAGAAAAATAAACATAACGTAATTTTTTCTCCAACAAAAGTTTGCAAATTCAATTGCGTGGAAAATAAAAATGGCGAACTGAAGCTTGCAAGCACTAAATTTTAGGTTTATCATTTTGATAGAATAACGCCTAACACACACACAGCTGGTCTCCGTGGAATAAAAGTAAACAATGGATCCAAGAAGAATCGATAAGTCTCTTTTTGGAACGGTGTCTCATCTTTATATTTATTAGACGACAAACAGATTTTCCTGACGTTATGAATAAAATGGAAGTTTATGAAAGTAAGAGAAAATAGAGGAATTAAGGAAGTGAAAGAGATACTCATCGCAAAGGAGAAATATACGGTTAGCCTTAAAATATCTAGATTAAATGCTTAAATAACAGTAATCGCAGCTTAATATGATAGCGGTTAATGCTATTATCATTCAGATATTGTTATTGCTGCAACATCGCATATTTGTATACAAAAACGTGGAAAATACACCACTTAATGTGATCAACAAATCTGTTAATGTTCTCAATTCCTTACAAATAAATTATTCTGACAAAAGTAATGTTGCCAAATGAAAGATAAAATTGTCATATAATGTCGAAATTGAGTGAAGAGATAGCCAAACGCCAGAGCTATATCGCCGAGTGAAGAATTAAGTTGTCAAAGCATTCATATTTTGATTTAATTCTATAAGGTATTTCTCCCATCTTCTTGGCGTGCCTTTGTGGTGTAGTGGTTCTGCACGCTGGGCCGGTATTCCAGAGGTCCGTGGTTCGATTCCCGGCGAAGGCAATTGCTCATTTTTCATCTCTCCGGCCTCCAAAAAAATCTTAATGTCTCTACAAAACAACATTAAACTCTTGGAACCACGTCTCAGTAAAGACAACAAAGAAAACTATTCTAATCGTGCCAAATTATTAATAAATAATAAAATAAAAGAACGTGACAATTAAATAAATTAAACACGTTTTCAATTAACATGAATTGAGAGAAAATTAAGGCTTCGATGGATATTGGTGAAAAACTTCAAACTGCAGATTAAATGACAGAAGAAGATATTTATCTGCTTGTGGCTTTCTAAAACAAATTCGAGCACATTATGTGATAAACCTTTCAACAGAAGATGATAAAAAAATCGGTGAATTTTTTAGAAATATTGAGATGAGGGTAGTCTTAAATTAAGTATTTGTATGTTCGTATAAAACTATTTATTTATTATCAGTTACATTCGTATTAAATTATTCAAACTAAATCGATATTTCGAAAAATATTTCTCTCATCGCTTAATGTTATCAAAATACCGTATTTCCTCCAGCATTCCCCCCCCCTCCAGCATTTTAGCTCTAGGTTCTGAAAACTTTAAAAATGTTCGGATGATTTTCCTCTTCTGCTCTTGTAAATACTTTTTCCCACGATGACTAGTTTATTAATCAGTTTTCCCCCTTGATTATTTTTATTCAGTGGTTCGATTTGCATTTGCATTTTCGTATTAGCGTTTAATCAATTTTACTTTCTCTTGCATTTATTATTTGAAAAGGATTTTGACCAGGCTCTTCATAGAACTACTCGAACTTGGCAGGTGGCACTGGAACTTGGCACTTAAACTTTCAAAACATGCGATTTCATCTCACTTCTCTTATTTATGTTCCAGTTTATCGTAGCTTTAGATATAGCTAATGTGTTCGATCTTTCGAAATCCGCGTTTATTATTAACCTCTGCATCTCCTTCATTCATTCAATGTCCCTCTTGGAAAGTGCGTTCATGTAAAGTATGTTTATTCATGTAAAGTATGTTTGGGATTTTAGAAAGTCATTTACAGACAAACAGCGGCTCAACATCCGTCAGATATTGTAATACTGATATTAGTCTGTGTTCCCTCTGGAATATAGGTTCCTCTTCGAGAAATAATATTGTGATAGTTACCTGTAGTTTAGCCATGACTACTTTTGATTTGTTGTGTTACAAGCCTGGTTAAGCCATAGTGTCACTTCTGGTCAGGTGGGATAGTTGCTGCCCACAAAGAGACAAAAAAACTGTAGCAACGGGCAGATATTTTAAGCTGAGCCACTGTACTTATTTACAGCACTAGAGAACGCACGGGGAAATGTGATACCTCCTTATTATTCTTCCCAATTAAAATAGCGAATGGGGAGTAGTACGAAAGCCAGTCGACCTAATCCAAATCATGACCAGTTATCGCCCATCGCATTTCACATTTCAGTTCGGGCGCCAATGTAGAAATTTTCAAGTAATTTTTGCAGCCGAGAAATAGGAAAAAACAACTGTTTCTTCGCAAGGAATTGAACACAAGATTTTCCAGCACTAGATAGCTGTGAAAACGCCTTATACAGCAAAGAAATGTAGAAGGAATGTCTTTATTTTCTAATACTACAACATAGAAGAAGGTTGCTTAAAATCTATTGACCGAAAACTTTCTTTCAAGCATATTATCACTAGCCAAAGTCCAATAAATGCATCTATCTAAGATACGAAAGGTCTATACGTATATATAAAGAGAGAGACAGAGATAAGCCAAAGAAAGGGAATTAACCAGAAGATCTTAAGATCAAGACTCCGTTCTACTTTTTCTTTGGTATTTCAGATCAATCTTCAGCTCTTTCCTACTGTTGTCTTTGTGACAAAAGTTACAGTGATCGATCGACAGAGACACAATATTATTATTTTATTTCTCTTCAGATTTATGTTTTTTCATTGTTACAGTTGAAAAGTTAGGTTCTGATGAAAGTGATTCACAGTTAAGATGAACCTTCATCTGCACAAACATAACGATGACCTTTAAGAGATTTTTAATTTTACCCGCTGAACGCTTTATCTTATAAATGAATAATAAACTGCTCATAAAGTAATTTTTTCTAAAAGATTTTTTTATTTATCATTGGGTAAAATCGCCATTAATGTCATGTTTGGGCGCAAATTCAGGTATTTAATTTGAAAAAATACAAAACAGATTCTGCGGGGCTTCACTATAAAAGGTGTATTATATTTTCAAATTTTTGCCACATCTCCTTGTAGTAATTTAAGGAAATGAAATAGTGTTTTAAGGAAATTAAATAATGAAGAATTTGCGTGTATGTATATTCCTCGCATTGTGAAAAAACGAAGGTACTTAGAGCCATAAAATTTTGAATAGCGTAATCATCTACCCAAACACAAGGCACCTGAAAGCCCGAATTTTGAAATTTCGAAATTGTTTTAGAATTTATATCCTATTCTGTTGAACTTTAATAATTTTTTTATTAACAAACTCAATGATTTGAAAGCGAGCAGTGACAACATTGTTCGAAATAAAACATTTTTACCTAAGCCCCAGAGTGTGGCATTCGGAAAAAGGTGAGCTTTAATTAACAAACTCGGCTCAGTGAGAGCAATGTGTTGCAATAATAAAACTTGAATATTCATAAGTATTTTTACCGCTTGATAACTGATACTTATTTGTGTAAAACTTCCTTCGAAATGACAACAGTAGCAAACATTAAAAACTGAGGAATGCTACTGAATGACCTCTAAAGGGAAAATGAAAAAACCTTCTTGAAGTATACTAACTTATTAATTAACCGAACCTTTCAAGGCAAGACGAAAATGGCGCTCAAAGTACCAAGTTTGAAATTAAATATCTCTGTAAATTTTTATGGCATTAGCTTTTTGCAGCTAATGCCATAAAAGTCATTAGCCTTTTGCAGAATGTCGCACGAAAAATAAACATATTCCCTGCCATGATTCGAAATCTGGACTTGCCATTTACTAGTCAGACGTGCTTCCAATTACATCCTATAGGCAAACAGTAAGCAGGCAGAAAACACCATATAGGGTAGTCAAATGTTTCTATGTTTTTCTTTTTCTAATGACTATAAAATTCTCCTAAATAAGGAACGTGGGATCGTATAAAATGTTAAACTTCGTAATTAAAAAAATATTATGTTTTTAAATTTTAAAATTCCAATCAATATGCTAATCCCACGATTTAAAGATTCATAAGCTAATCAACGTTAAAGAAGTGATGAAGATTAATAAAAAATCTTATGCATTTTCGATAGGCAACAACGTGCATGTTCTGGATTTTTATACGTGCATGTTTTGAATGTTTATTTTCTCAAAGTGCAATAATAAATGAAAAGAAATCTACATACCCAGGAACTCCTCCGGACTCCATATGATTGGCCAGCGTGACGTCATCAGACCATACATCAAATTGCCACTTCCTCAATCCCAGAACTCCGCAGAGGACATCTCCAGTATGCACTCCTATGCGCATGTCCACGTTCACTTCCGTCGCCTCCCGCACCACACTAGCGAGATTAAAAAACACGCATAAATATTGATATAATTCAAACTTAACGAATTGTCAAATAAGTATAATGGGACTGATTATTTGAAGACAGATTCTTTTATAGTTCCGCTAAGCGTTATCAGGTTTATTTCATGTTTATGGGACCAGTTTCTATATTATATATACTATTCTGGTATTTTCGTTGTTATTTTTCGAGATTTACTCACTTCAGAACCTTACGTTTTTCGCAGGAATTTGTGAATTAAAATAGAATACCTTTTATGCGGCAGAAGGTACGAGTAAAAGAGAGTGGGACACTATTGGTCACCCTACTGGGCTAATTTTACCATTGGACGCATAGGTATTGTCTCACCGTACTAATTGTGGAGTTCCGCTCCAACTTTTAGGGAGAAGACACGGAAGGAGATGCGAGGGTCTGACTTTCTTCCCCCATCATCAACCTTTCAACAAGACTTTCTGCTTGCAGTGTATTTTGTGTACCCCCTTGTCGCACAGACACTACTCGCTTACAAATATCCATGCTTTCTTCTGGGTTCGAACCCGAGCCCATTGGTACGGCTGTCAGTGTCACTAAATACTATATCGGACTTAAGGCTTGGCAAATCCGAAACCAAGCAATAGACTTCTTTTGGATGTAAAAAACATTTATAACAAAATAAGAGAGAAAATGGTATATATTTTCATTGGGTCAAAGCACATATTGGTGTTATCGGGAATGAAAGGGCGGATATGCTAGCTAAAGAGGCTGCCCTGGGAGAGGGTGATAGTTATGAGGCTATTAATGATTCCAGAAGAATTACCTTGAGAAAAATGAAAGCAACTATAATTGAGAAATGGGCTCGGGAATGGAATGGTTCAAATAAAAATAAGGGTTACTTGAGGATTTTGACCATAAAAAGAAAAATGGATCTATTTAATAATATAGATACTATTCAAGTTATCACGGATCATGGTAGATTCCCTGCGTATTTAAAACGTTTTAATCTCCAGGGCAATGATCAATGCTTGGCTTGTGGGAAGTACGGAAATGCAGCTCATTCTATGGAAGAATGTAAACTGACCGAGAGTGTGAGGACGAGATTTAGAAAAATAAACGAACAAAATGTAATTGAAAAAAGAAAATTCTTGAATAGCTATGCAACAGAAATTATGAGGATTGTAAATGAAAACAAGACTATCATAGGAATAGGACTTTAAATATTTAATCTTTTATTTATTTCATTATTATTATTTTGTTGTTGTTTGTCTGCGTCGGGTGTGCTGCGTTAACCATGAGGCCGATTATTGTCGGCTAGGAGGGTTGCAGCATACTCGTAAACTAAACTAAACTAAACTATATCGGATTGAGCCCGAATCCAGACAAACTATCAGAATTCAGTAGGTTTAAATTGCTCGGACACAAGCGGGGCTTGAAATGGTTGAAAATTTTGTCGTCACAGGAACCTTCTGACTGCTAGCAGAATCTTATACTTACAACTACAGCACGACGACACACGATGAGAAGCGATAGGATAGGTTATTTGAATATGGGAAACCACACGATGGATATCCGCCTAAAGGGAGGAATGACTTCGTGAAGGACGTTTTAAGGAATACTGTCGCGTATTCATGTTGCACGCGAGGAAAACCGCAAGAAACAACTACAAAGCCAGCATGTTCACTTTGCTCGAACCCACGACGAAATACCAGTATCCAACAGTCTTTAAGGTGTATCAGAAACCCCTATACCGACAATGTTAAATTGACCATTTTCGATGTACCTTTTCTCAAAATCTGCTGTAGATACAAGCTTGAAATTTTTTCTGCAATTAAAGTATACCTATCTGATTATACTGAAATGAGTTTTTGAAGCATTTTGAATTTTAGAGTAAATTACAGAATATTATGTTAGGCATAGTAAAATTTAGCACTTTTCTCACACAAAAAAATTAAATTTTTTTTTCTAAGTTTATTACAAAAAGCTCATTTCAGTAAATATTAGGGAACCTAATAAATAAGCCATAAAGACTTTAGATACCTGTGAGCAGTAGTTCCTGAGAAAAGTACATCGAGTATAAAAAATCACGTTTGGAGAAAAACGCGTTTTTATGTAAAAATCCTCATTGATCAAAGCAGTAGATGACAAATTAAAACTAGATTTTTTTACAGTTCTAATTTTCATAGAGATTTAAGAATGGTATTTATAGAAAGATAAAAGTGTAGAGAATCTGAAAATGCAAAAATCCGAAATCACAATGTTTTGAAGATTTTGGGGTTCCAACACCCCTTAACCTCTCTGCATCTGTGAGTAAGAAGAGAAGAAAATACCTTATAAACTCTTCTTTGAAGTGTTATTCTCTATTCTGGAATTTCCAAACTGCAGCTTACTTAAGAATATTTTAATTGAATAAATCTAATATAAATAATTAAGAAGGTAGCGCATGCATATAAAAAAATATGAGGTCTTAAAACTGCTTTTAACTGAATAATATCAGAATTATTCTTAATATCAATATCTTTTCTGATTAAAATAAAGAATTAACTGAATAATTCTTAATTCTTAATATCTATTATTTCTGATTAAAATAAACCGAATTAACTGAATAATATCAGAATTATTCTTAATATCAATATTCTATTTCTGATTAAAATAAACCGAATTAACTGAATAATATCAGAATTATTCTTAATATCAATATTCTATTCAAATTACTATAATATCAGATTAAATGAAAAATAAATGGAATAATGAATTATTCTTAATATCAATATTCTATTTCTGATTAAAATAAACCGAATTAACTGAATAATATCAGAATTATTCTTAATATCAATATTCTATTTCTGATTAAAATAAACCGAATTAACTGAATAATATCAGAATTATTCTTAATATCAATATTCTATTTCTGATTAAAATATATCAGAAATCTTAATATCAAAATTCTTATATCTATCAAACCGAATTCTGATTAAAATAAATTTCTGATTAAAATAAACCGAATTATATATGTTTCAAAGTGCAAAATAATCTGACAAGATTTTAGTTTATCCGAATAAAAAACTGAAGCACTCCGAAATAAATTTCTCGCGTCTCCAATTATTGCTTTTTCGTTATTAAGGCTTCGATGATCAACTTTAATGTCTCTTGCTCATCGCTCGTAGAACATTACTGTCCACGGTTGAGACGATAAAAGATGGAATACGAGCATGTCTATAATCTGCCTCCATATTTTTCGCAAGAGTGATTCTACTTCGGAGCAGAATTAGTTCTTTATGGCAATTTCATTGGCCCTTTTCGAGGAAGTAATTTTACCAAGCTATAACTAGAGATAGATCAAGCCTCACAGACAGCAGATGAAAGGGTTCACATGTCAAGCTTTCATAACCCTCAAAAGCCCATAATAAGCCGCCTTATAGGAAGATATTAAGTTCTTTAATTTGGAGGCGAAATGAAGAAGTTGAAAATGGTTCAGAAGAGCTATTTTCGAAAATATTTCTAATCTAATACAGACGACATTATGTCACACATGACTCATAAATAGAACAAGAAATATGACATTCTTCATTAAATAAAATTGTTAATCGAGACAAAAGTGGAATATGCGAAAGTAAAACATAAAATTAGGCAAAACAATAATGTTGTGTTTGGCGCAGCGTTTAGTCAAGAATATATCGATTTTGAGGAAAAAGAGGTACAAGCGCCTCTTCAGCAGGAGTAAAGAAATTTGGAAATGTCTCCTTCGATTGGTTAATTGGATTTTCTTGCAGCTTTTCATATCATTAGACTTATATTATTTAGTTAATGACTTTAATTCTAATCCAACCTTTACTACAGCTTTTAAAATTCTATTAACTTAATTTTTCTTTTTTCGTAACTATTTCTGCTGAAAGATGGCGCTACTTTCTTGTTCGCTTTAGTCTTTTTAAATACTATAAATACAACTGTAGCTTTTCCTTCGTTGCAGATTTCTTTGCTCCTGATGAAGATGGTTCTTCACCAGTTTGCTCTCGAAAGGACAGAATCTTGACTAAAATCTACACCAGACATAAAATTGTTGCTTTTCTTAATTTTATATAGCTGTTAATGCTTGGATCCAAAATTTCGGAATAATAGTATGAAAATAGGCAAAGTTGAGTTTTAGGTCAGGGCCGGTTTTATAAGATTTCGTAGGAATCAAATACGAAATAGCTTTGATTAATCTTTGGCCTCCTCCCCCCCCAAAAAAAAATGTATTCTCGATTAGCAGCGTGCGGATTGTTCGTTTTGTGGATTATCCGTGCGTGGCGGTGCTTATGCACTCACACTCAGTGCTATGCTCGGGAATGTGTAAGAAACAAAATCGCGCTAGTGCCCAGCATGGTCCCAAAACCGCTAAATTGCACCTTTAGGTTCAGTTTCAAAGACTAGTTCAATCCTTAGGTACCTTCGCATAACTCTTGTTGAGGAAGACCATGATTTAATAAAGTTCTAGACACGTTGACTCCTGTATTGGATGCCGTATATAGCCGGAAAAACTTAGTTGAAAGTGAGACGGATAATGATTCTTCCCAATAAAAAAAATCGAGATTCATCGAATTGTAAAGAATTCGAAGAAATAAGTGAAGATGTATGAAAAAAAAAAAAAAAAAAACCAGAAAATGCAAAGTTATTCACAAAAATGTCGATCGGAAAACATCCAGGATTGATTCGATAGCGATTCGACTGACCTGAGCTTTCAACACTTTAGTGATACGAATATCGTTTCAAATGTAACAAGCAGAGAAGAGGCAAAGAGAGGTACTGAAAATGCAAGCGAAAAAGATACTGACAATTACACTTATCTCGAGACAGCAAAGACTTCTTTCGAAACTCTGTTGGACCAAAAGGAATTCGAATGCAATGAGAAGATAACACTTCGAAAATTACGCAGTGAAAGTCAACAGATATTTAAATGTTCTCAAAAACAACGAAAAATGACTGATTTTTAAGAAATAAAAGCATACATTGTCATGAAAATTGATAGTTTGGATTATCTGCGTTTTTCAGTTATCCATGACCTGCTTCACCCCCCCCCATTACACCGGATAATCGAGAGTGCACTATAATCAGCAAAAATGTTTATTTGCTTGTCACGTGAATAACATATTGGTAATGATTAAGATAAGTAAAAAAAATTCTACTGAAATCTTTTAAAATTCTTATCGGAAATATAGCGATTACACTACAAAACAATTACACGTCTCAATTTATTTTTGATGATTCTGTAAAAAGCAACTCTTATCGTTCAGGCAAAGTACTGCCATTTTGTGCTTTTTGTACTGCCTAAACCACATCGCAAAAATGTTCCATATATTGCTATTTGCGCTCTTTCTTGTAGGAGAATCTCAGATGAAATAATACGTCTTCATTTGCTGGCACATGTACTAATGCCTTCACTTATTCGTTCCAGTTTTTCGCAATCCTCTCACTACAGAAATTCGCACTTTCTTCAATTGTAAGGATTGACCTCCACTCCTCATAGAGAACAAAATGCATGAATTTGTAACTGACATTGAATAAAATGCCAGAATATATAAAGCCATCAAGGTTGAGGAGAAAAACAAACTTACCAGACATTACAAAAGCGATACTGAAAAAATTAAAATACAAAAAAAAAAAAAAAAAAAAAAAAAAGCAAGGTTATAGCAGTCTACGAGTTGTACTACTCCCCAAAAATGCCGATATTTATGAAACTCTGAATTTGACATTGAAATTTTGACTAAGCCTCAAAAGAAGGTGTCTTGCGCTACCAGTTTATGCAGGTGGTTGCACAAGAAAGACACTGGATTTACATTTTGTAGAATTTTGAATAAGTGGTTTCAGTGTAAGAGCACTGGGAGCGAAAGGGTTAAAGAATTTAATTCTAGCGAATAAACTGGCTACTTCAGAGCTTTTGTGTACCCCCTCCCCGTATGCGAAGGGAATACGAATCAATTTCTTTTCGAATATGATTTCTCAGTGACTTTATTTGGCACTCATACGCCTTCCAATAATTTCGAGATGCAGACAGAACTAGAAATTTCTCGGTGGCCGGGAAAATAACTATGCAAGACTGCAGAGAACATTTGCTCTCAGTATCTTCTCAGATATTTGTTTCATCTGGAGAATTCTATCTGTGGATTTCAACACGGGTCAGGGACTCAATCATGGACTGGCAAGAGGAGGACTTTTTCTCCTTATGAATGCCAGTATACTCACAAAAGTACCAAAGTATCCTGCTCTCAGTAGTAGTTGTGAGTTGCTGTAATCTGTTTAGGTCAGCCGAAGTCCGGAGTACCGAGATATCTCTGTGCGAGCTTCCTCTTTAGATGCGCTTTGCATTGCGTAGTGTTTATCGTTCTTAATAGTTAAGTGTAACTAGTGATTGTACTCCCTGATGATGAGAAGAATTGTAGGTCTATTTTTGTGGAAAAGTTCCAGAACTGTTAAGTTTCTCTTTTGGCGAAATAAATTTTATCATCGGACCTGTGTGGATTCAATCTATTAGGAAACCGTACGCACGCAACCATACATTTTATTTTACATAGTTTGGTTCTTCCGTGTTTATTTATTTATTTTGTTAATTATTTATTAGCCCAAAGGAAAATTAATTTGGTTTTGGCATTTTCGTTCCCCTATAAACGGCATCCCCTGCGATCTCCTATAAACGGCAAATCACTTTTCAAATTGTTGCCACCAAATATGTATATACACCTGTGTTAATATACCAAATAACCAAATATATACCTGTGTAATTAACCAAATATATACCTGTGTTATATTTAAAGAAATGATGAAGAATCTGCATAAATGTATGTATGTTTCTCGCACTGTGATAAAACAGCGGTACCTAGAGCCAACAAATTTTGAATAAAGTAATCCTCCAGTAACTATGGGCATCTGGAGGCCCTAATTTGGAATTTGGTTTATTACCGATTTCATGTTTTCTAACACTTTAACGAATATTTGATTAACAAACTCAACGATTTCAAAGTGAGCAATAGCAAGACTGTGCGGAGGAAAAAACATTTTGTCTCCAGCGCACGACACTATCGGAAACTTTCGGAAATACTTAAGATATGCTGTTCGTAAATACTGTGATATTATTGTAAAATTGAAAATTATATGGTTTAAGTGCCAAGAACATGATATTTAATAAATAAAGGTAACACATAAAGTCCCTTTGGACATAATGTAAAATATGAAAGCTTTCAGATTTTTTTAATTATTTTTTTCTTTTCTTTTATGTTTTGATATACTAAAGAAATGATTGTAACTTGTGCAGCGGTTATGATTACAAAAAATATTACAAGCGCAAGAAAATAAGATTATATTTAAAAATATGCGTTCGTGAGAAAATGAAAATAAGCTGAGATTTCGATTTTAAACTATCTATTACGCACTCAGCTGATCACTGTTTACGTTTCCAAGTAAAGTTTCCGAAAATCAGAGTAATCCACTGCGAGAGATCATTGATCAGTCAAAAAATGCATGTTAGTTCTCTCCGTGCGCTCGGCGAGAGTTAACATCATTGTTAACACAGGAACAATATTATTCAAGACAGATCACTGGGGATCAAAAACGAGGGCTGAACATCGTACGGAACATAGGGTACGTTGGCTATCATTTTAATTTAAAGCATTATTCGATTCGTTAGAGAATCGGAGGCTTGCTAATTACATATAAGAAAATAGAGTCACAAACAAAATTCAAACGACCAAATAATATAACAATTGGAAATTAATAATAAATTGCAGTGTCCAAAAATATAAATATTAATAGTATATTAAAAAGGATAAAATACATTAAAAAGGATTTAAAAATTGACCAATATATTGTGTCATATGCTTTTGTGATGGCATGTGTTACCAATCTGCCTTTTACCTTCAGACATCAGAACTGGCGGTGGTCAAAATTGTTGAATTCTATATTTAAATTTTATTCATTGAAACTTTTGGAATTTTGGTGGCAGACGATCTGCTAGGGAAGAACGTTGTCTCATACAGCGTCACCTAATGTAAAACGAAACACTACGACATTTAGCAGTAATAGAAAATTACAATAGCATCCTACTGATCTAGCATGTAGTATAAATATGCTAGAGTATACAGAATGTTTTATCATGTAATTAATAATATTATATTTGTTTAATTACAGTATTAAGATTTAAAAACCTCATTTTAAAGCAAATCTTGACTTTGCGGTAGGACGCGAAATAGCTTTATAAGATATCCTCTCCCTCTTTTCCGCATGCTTTCGTGAAGTAAGTGTTCATGTGTAGTTAGAAGTACTCTCGAAGAGTATTAGAGAGATCCAGGTTTGAATCCCGGCGAGGGCATTACTCATTTTTCACGTCTGCTACTCAAAAAAAAAAAAAAAAAAAAAAAAAAAAAAAATATTGACTTTACAGCATCACTAATGTTTCACTGTTATACCATAGTAATTATTAAGTTAACAATAATTTGGAGTGTATGAGAAGAATTTAGGAATTCGGCACTCACCGTATGGCTTCGATCATACTGAGGCCCATCTGAACACAATTTGTGGCATGACTAGGTCTTGAGACAGGTAAGCCGGACACACAATAATAGCAGTCACCCAAAATTTTAATGCGCATGCAGTGGTTCTCCTGCAAAACAAAATGTTATTATCAGCACTTCTCATGCAATGTGATCTTTCATCATGGCGAAAACTCATTCGCAACAGGTTTCAAACTGCATTCGGACGGAATGCGTTATTTAAAATAAAGCTGACGGGCCAGATTCTTTTTTTACTAAAACGAAAAATATTATTAACAAAAAAAAAAAAAAAAAAAAAAAATATTTTAAATAAATTTGGATTTTGCTGGCTAAATTAACAAGCCTGCAAAATTTACGTTATGTTTTGTTTCCAACTTTCATTAACGTGATTCCTATGTATGTTTTGCGCTGAATCTGTACATTATATTCTTGTTTCCTCCATAACTTGAGGGGTTTCGGAAATCGCAACTTTCAAAACTTGTATAAAGTCAAAAATTGCAAAGATATCAAATGTTAAAATGTCTTTTCTTAAAATTTATTCTGTTGTTTAGCTGATACAATGCACATTAAATACATATTACGCCACGATTTGTCGACATTTCCATGGACCGCTCATGCTACGCGTTTTTTCTTTTAAGTTCTCGATGAAATTCATCTCGGCGTCTTTAAATTTTCCTCAGGCTTCTTTTTTATTTTTTAAAATTAGCATCTTTGAGAAGTTTTCTAATGTCAGGACCAACAAAGACATTCTCTTTTAGTTCGACAGCTGATAAAGCTAAAATTTATCACACATGTATTTAAAACATAGACCTTCTTTTGGTAAGGCTTTGATCAATTGCTTCGCCAAGCCTAACTTGGTATGCAGAGATTGGAAGTGGAACTTTATTCGGATCTAGAGAGCTTTCCAGTGGTTCCTGGTTCCTATGAAGCCATTTTTCGCCAATCTTTATTTATCCAATGAATTTTTTATCTGCTATCCAAATCTTCATAGCGCATTTTTAAATGGAAAGAATTTCGAAAAAGGCTCAATGTAAATCTAAAACAACTAAAAAATTAACGAAAATTACAAGGAAAATCCAATAAAATGGGAGATTAGGCTCATTATTAGCACTTTTTATTAGAAAGTTGAAGGAGCCAGTTGACCGTCTCCCCCAATCAGACCTCTCAATTGGTTTGCTTTAAGAGTGTTAGGTACAAGTAAAAAAAGAATACATTATAAGAAAAAGGTGTTTCATGTCTGTCTGAACGTCTCATATTTTCTCAATTTTTCGACTTTGTAACAGTTTTGAAATTGGCAATTTACAAAATTTCCTGACATGATTGTAAAACATTGAAGGTCATTTTCGGATTCAGTTCTTAAAAATACATAAGAATCAATTATTAAAAATTAACAAGCAAAGCAAACTGAGGCTTGAGATATTTATCAACAGATAAATAATATAATATTATTAAAACACAGATAAATAATAATATAAAAACACAGATAAATAATAATAATATTATTATTAACATCGCAAAAGAAAAAATCAAATTTGTATTTGTTTTCTTTTCTACCTTAAACCTAAAGTTTGGTACCTGGAAGACATTTTTATTGGTTATGGTTTTATTGGTTAATTCAAATATTCTGAAAGCTGAATATTAAATTCTTAGACATATTTTTCTCAAATAATTGTAACAAGTTTAATTAATCATTAACTAGATTTAATTTAAACTAAAAATAAACATACTATGAAAATTTGAGGTTAAATAATAACAACCTAGTCTCTTTTAATTATTTACTAATTTTATTCGACACTTAACTATAAATACATATGTCTGTAAGTAAATATTAATAAACTTGCATATATCTCACTACAGTTTGGCGCTCGTTAGCGATTCATTTCCGATAAAATTTGTAGCCTTTGAAAGAAATGACTAAAAATTGCTTTCATCACGGATAGCAGATGCTGGTCCGTCAAGAGGGTTCTTTTCTTATCAGTTTTCAACGGTGAAAATGAACTTTTCGCGTATATATGTATTCTCAAACAATAGGATCATTCTTACTGCAAAAACTTGTAATTGAGAGTACTTATATTTTGGCAAAGAGGAATAAAAGCTAATCAAATCTGTATTTTCAAATCTTTGAATAAGATTAATATCACACTGTAACTCCATTTGTAGATTTTCAAGTGCGTTATTCACGTTCCGTTTTAATGGAAATGAAAATAATGTAAACTCGGACTTCAAATAACTAAAATCTTGAAATCTTTGCAGCGGCGTATTTCAAACAAATTCATATCTAAAATGTTTTAACAGGCCTAACGGAACTGCTTCGAGTTTCAGACCACTGATATTGTGCACTAGCCGACGCACGCCAATACGTAAGAGTATAAACCAGTTTTGATTCTGATTCCTACAAACCTTCAGCAATATTTGAAGCTATTCTGTATACTTCAAGAGAGATGAGATTTTTATTTATTTACTAACGCAAAGGCTTAATGTGAGGGTTAAATCATTCACACGTGGCGCGTACTGCAAAATCTAATTCTGTAAATGTCAAGCCTTTGCACCTCTAGACGAGACTCTCTGTCACCTGTTGATTTCATGCGGTGACTCTCAGCGACCGCTTGGTGTGAGGCTTTAACTCGAGAGGTAACAATTGACCACCATTCAGTTTGAAGCGAAATTTCGACCGGTAATGATGTTTGTTTAGGTTTGCTTTGGGCAATATTGTTTTAATCAGTGTATTCAATAATATATGCGTAGATAAAGAACGAAATTACGTCTATGCATAAACTACTCGACTGTAGTGAGGAAGAAAGGTGAAGATAGCGATGAAGTAAGAAGTGTAAGAAAAGAAATACATAGTGAAATGTGAAAGCGACAGTGATTCCGCAGAATAAACAGAAAATTCAGAATGGATAACGGGCACAGAACCCGAACATATACTGCCAAGAATACTTTTTTTATCCGCCGAAAGGACTTCAAGTGTCTTCATATATAAAAGAACCATTAGATTTCTGGGAAATCATTTTAAGTTAGCTGCAAGAAATTTATCAAATGTACGAAAAATCGTCTCGAGTTGTAGGTTCGCCCAAACGAAAATGGCGAGCGCAGAGAATTAACCTTCTATGGATAAAAAAGGGGTTAGGCAAACATTTCTGATTAAGAAAGCATACATAATTTATGTAAAGAAAAATATTATTGTAATGAAAAGAGGAAAATGAAACAAATTGTAAATTGAACGGATTTCTATTACTGCTTAATAAGAACTTATACAATTATTTTTTTTTAAAAGCTGGTGATTTTTGCTTGGAACAATAACTCTAGTGTAATCACTATTGACGAGTTTTTAAGTTATAACAACACGTGCCAGACAAATGAAGCGAAAACTAACTAAAACCTCGCAGCTTATGAACTTCAAAAGTCAGTTATAGAAAAGTGAAATGAAAAATGCAGGAGTTTACTATTTATGAATAGTCATAAATCTATGAGCTTTAGAATTATGACTTACAGAAAAATGAAATGAAAAATATAAGCAGCTTCAAATTACGAAGTTTTGAATTATGAACATCGAGAGTTACGCATTGTTATTATTTAACAAGACTTCGTTAGAAGAAATACAAACGTGTTCTTTTACAAGTAAGCCGCTCAGCCAGTATAGTGTTCAGTGACTTTGGCAGTCGTAACGATAGATCCGAGTTCCAATCCCGGAGAAGGCATGGTTGTAACTGTCCGTCCCTTCATAGGAGGCAATGATGGTTACCTATTAGGTGCTTCCATAATGAAATGGCCACTACGTCCTGCCCTTGTAGTGGCGCAAGGCTAATAGCTATTACGTAAAGCGCCGGACCATTAAAAAACGTCTTTTACAAATATTTGTAATTAGGGGTATAAAATCCAGCAGTTGTAACAGTTAAATTAAGACTTATAAATAACGTATCCGCCCCATCATTTGGGCGCTATGTTCTGAAAATTTAAAAAGCATTCACATAATTTCTCACTTACTCCATTGTACATAGTTTTTGCCTCTGAGAGCTAGTTTATTGGTAAATTGTATACTCTTAGTAATTTCTGTTTTTATTCAGTACATTCAAATTCTATTTGCATTTTTGTACCAGAATGTCATCCGTTTTATTTTCCCCTGCATTTATTATTTGAAACGTATTGTATGCAGATTCGTTGTCAAGCTACCTGGACGTGATAGGTATTTTAACACTTAAACTTTCCAAAAGTAGTGATTTTACATAACTTCTATTATTTATGTTATACCTCATTTGTAGCCCTATTTATTGCGGATGTGTTTGGACTTTCGAAATCTGGTTGTTAATCCGGTGTCCTTCTTGGGAACAGCGGTCAAGATTCATTCATATGAGGTACACCTGGGCTTCATAAAGTAACTACCAGCTCAATTATCGTAACATTTCGCCTAAATATATGTCAGATATTGTATGTTATTATTACTATGCATTCTTAAAGTAGACTTCTTTCATAGAGATAATATTGTAATGCTTATTCAGTATTTTATCCATGCCTATATTCCCTTTACCATATTTTTACTAAAACCACGTTCTTCTGAAATTAAATGACTCGCATAGTTTTCTCTTCTCTATTTTTGGACAGTTAAAAAAGGGGAAATATTCGAAGAAATGCGGTGTTAAAAAATTAATATCTATCTTGAAACTCATAATCTTTGTTTATTCACGCAGTAATATTATTAAGTGTAGAAACTCAAAAGCAAATTCAAAACTCGGAAATGTTTCATAATATTATGGTTTGAAATACATTCGTACTTAAACCGATCTAATGATAATTCAAGGCAGCATAAACTTCACAGACGAAGGAAACGAAACCAAGACGATGAAAGTATGCTGGAACAGCAGCTGAGTGCAAAACAATTAATTACATGTTTTAAATTTATGTTTTATGATTTGATAGTAATTCAAAAGTAATTCAATTTTGCCCTGACATGATTTATTTATTACAAAAGTTGTTTTTTTAAAACAGAATATACTGTAAATCTCAGAAAACGCCAGTTCCTTTCCACCAACTGTAATGAAAGGTTAAAAATAGAGATCCTGAAATGGCACGATTATTTTTGCTAGCTCCAGACAGCCTGAATTGGTGAAAG